AAACTGGAAAAAAAACAGCCCTTTTTCGCTGTCATGTCAACGTGGTAACATCGCCGTAAGACTGCAATGCCGTAAGGGCTCGTCCTAGATAAAAATATCCCAACACTTCAGCAAATAATTTCCAACAAATTTTCCCTCTTCAAATTTTTCCCGTATTTTTTTATATGAACAGGTTCTACGGCTGTGGACTTACGGGACATCCACATAATACAAAAAAGTAAAAGTACTTCAAGAGAAAAGTAATCTTTTCGAACAACGACCCGTGGTCCAAGCAAAGGCGGGAGGGCACATCAACGGCGACAAACTCGAGGGAGCTCTGGCACAACCGCAGTGGGAACGGAGTTCAGTGTTCCGACGAGTCACTTACCAGAAGTTTGCTTGAAAAGATGGCAGCAGGCCGCGTACAGTACACTCCAATTAAAATACCACCACGGTATATAACATAGGAAAGTCGATTTCACTACCCTGCAGACAGTATTAGATAATTTTATCTTCTTCACAACTCTTTGGCCCTCTTCCAAATTATTCACTCCTCACAGACCATCGCTTTCTGACATCACTCGATTCATCTCTGCCGCTGTTTCTGTCCACTCCTTTATCTTCAATTATAACACGTTCAATAGCGTTTTCGATTATGTCTTCTTGCTCATAAAAGATTTGTTCTAATTTTTCCACATGTCAACATACATTCTCCCAGTCCTCTTGCCCAGTTTCTTCGAATCTCTGGCGACATAAATGCTCGACGTCCTTAATTTTAAAAGTTGTGTTCTTGATTGCGACCCATTTTACATCTGCCAAAATAAATTCAATGGGGTTTAAATCGGGATAGTACAGCGGAAGTCTGAGCACAGTACGTTCTTTGTCTGCTAAAATCTAATCAATCACGTAATATTTGTGCTTTGACTTATTTAATTTCATTAAATCGTACAGTTGAGCTTTCAACACTTTGTAATAAAAAATGTTATGTTTCTTTCCAGTAGCCAGGCTTTCATTTCGTCCTTCATTGAGTGGTCCGCATACTGGGCCCTTCCTACAAGGTCACCGGCCATAATCGGTGGATCCAGTTCTAGTACGTTCGAGCAAATGCACTATAAGACTGCAGTCAGCATTCCGCAGGAGGCAGTCTGCTGACGCACAGGCCTACGCACAACAAACTGCAGCCTAGGACCCCAAATTGAGAACAGCAGCAACAAATAGGATTTCTAGTTATAATTACTTCTTTGCTTTATACAAAATTCCTTAATTGCTTTTGTTATAAAATGTCCCTTGGTATTGTATAGATGACAGTTTCTCACTGCATCTTCGTCGGTGATCACGTTCTTGTTTAAAATTATCTATACTGACAGTTTTCTCATTAAAACATGTTTTTGTTATGGGGTCTCCTTAATTTGACAAAGATCCTTTGTCTGTGAAATCCGGCCTCAGAACTTGACGATGGAAAATACGAGGTGCGATCGGAGATTGCGCGTATAAAAACCCGTACACTTATCTCATGTATTAAATTCATCCATCACCCTCGACGTAGTTCCCCTGGGAGTGAACACAACGATCCCAGCGCCGCTGCCAAGCCTGGAAGCATCCCTGGAAATCTTTCTTTGTCAGCCTGTCAAGCACCATCTGCGATTCTGCCTGAATCTCTTCTATCGTCTCAAATCTCCTTCCCTTTAGCTGAATTTTCATCTTTGGGAAGAGGAAGAAGTCACACGGAGCTTAGAAAGGAAGTTGGGGTCGGTTCTTGCAAGATCTTTGAGCTCCTGACAAACGAGAAGTCGATTCTGCTTCTGGTCCTCAGACAGGATGCGTCGCATGTGGAGTTCTTCCTTTAGAATCAGCTGACAGGTCCCATAGCCTATCCCAACAATGTCGCATTAGTCGTTGATGGTACGACGTCGATCTTCGTAACATTTTCGGGCGTTGTGCTCGAAGATGGTCGTCCAGAACGCTCGTCATCATCGACAGCGGTTCGGCCATTTTTAAAACGTGAATGCCCCACAAAAGTTTGTGCACGACCCATTGCGGCCTCCCCAAATGCTTGCTTTAGCATTTCATAGGTTTCCTTAGCCGTTTTGGCGAGTCTTTGGCAACATTTGATGCACACGCCATTCCGAAATCGCAGGAGGGCCGGTGTAATGCACTACCAAAACGCCCGTAACTAAGAAACAAATGCTAATTCGATGATGCCGGCTGGCACACTGATTCACTATGAATGTAGGCCGCACCCCCTAGCGGCAGAAGCTCGTACTACATCCGGTTCGCCCTCTATTGACACAGTCTTGAAACTTTCCGATCGCACCTCGTACGTTCGAAAAGAGGGGAAACAGCGAAAAAGTTATGACAGCAACTGAAAAATATATGATATCGCTTTGTGGATAAAAAATGTATATTCGTTAATTCGGATAGCCTTTATATTACGTTCAGTTTGAAATTGGTCTCTGATATTAAAGCCTGGTGTACCTGGCGTCAGTTCTCGTACGAGTTGGCACTAGCACGAGATTCCGTACGAGAACCACTACTGTGCGTTAACTTCTAGTATTCCATATTGAAATTAGAAATCGAATCGAATGGTTCTGTGCATGTTTTGTTATTATTACAGTAATTTTATCGTTTTTAAAACGCACTTTCTTCACACACCAAAATTTCTGCAATCCGGGTGCGCCTTTCTTCTGATAGCGTCTCAGAATTCCCTAAAACATATTATTAACTCAAAGGCGCGTTTTACAATCGATGGCGTCTTAAAATCTTGCAAATATATTTGCATGCGTTCCTGCTGCGGTACGTTTTGATACTTGACTTAAGTGAGAAAGCTTTTTTTTTTTAAATTTTTTCGAGTAAATTTTTAAAATATTTCGATGTTATTGTGATATGAGACTGCACTTCACTGAAGATTAGTCTGCAGTTTCGCTCATATCGGTTCAAGCATATTCTCCCAGTTGATCATCCCATTTCACCCGAAGCAGAACATCACGGTCAGCCCAAAAGAAATCTGCAAAGGATTCATTGCCTCCCATCCATAATTCACACATCAGTGCATTGGGTTGCTGAGAAGAATATTTGGGCGCAAGGCATATGAAGTAGCGAGAAACTTGAGAAAACTACACAATGAGAAACTTTATAATTTGTAATCTTCACCAAATATTATCAGGATGATCCAATCAATGGGGAATGGGAGAAATGAGAAATTCACATAAAATTTTAATCTGAAACCTGAATGGATGATATCAGTTAGGATACTTTAGCGCAGACTTAAGGATAATATTAAAATGAATCTTAAGGATAAGACTTGTTTCATCCTGTTCAGAATTGAGACCACTTGCGAGCCCCTGTGAGAATGATCCTGAACCCTGGGCGGTAAATTTACTGACCAGCTGAGCGACTATCAGCTTCTGAAGAAAGAGTCAGCTCCATGGCGTTATTAATAAGACTACCGGATGCAGCAGTAGGGTAGTTGCGAGCATTACGGGGCAGTGGCAAACGACTCACCCACTCAGAGGCGCCAGTTCACTCGCCACAACAGAGCGAAAACGATTCACGGTCACGAAATGAAGAAACTTCCGTAACCTTCGTCCCTTTGCAGCTCCCAGCCGAGCGTGCTGTAGCCGACAACAACGCAACGTTGCCCAGTGTTCACGGGTAAGCCAAATCTCTTGTCAATAAACGATTTTTCACTTGGTACGAACATAACCTCTTGTGGCCACCACCTAAGTTTTTTAACCGCATGGGGCAGAATGTATTTGAAGAGTTGACAATCGCTCTGGTAGCCTCTGCCTTTTATGAAATCAGGTTGACCACTGTTCACAAATCTACCACCAGTTCCCACCCTGACCCATAAGAATCCGATCTACAGCCTCCCTCCCAAAGCAATGCCTTGAGATTCATTTTAATACTATCTTCCCAATTATAATTTTATAATATCGACCTTGCCATCATGCAGACATTTTAAGGAGAAGCAGCATTAGTGACTTTCCATGTATGGGCCTGAAATGTTGTGTGGTAACATATGTCTTTCATCCATGCTGCATAAATGAGGTAGTTCCACCCTCACAACTTACATCCCTTAAATGCAAATCAATATCCATCTCTTTCTTGGTCTTACAAGTGTACATATTCAACCAAAATACTGTCTACACTCATCTCCCCAATCCCAGCCACACATTTCAGCTTCCTAATAATATACAGTAAAATATATAAATCATGAAGTCTCTCATTATTTAATAATAAGTCAATAAATAGTGAAACTACAAATGAAAAGGGAAAACTGTTGATTATTCCCACACAGTGTACCTACTCAGTTACGCAAAAGTTTATTCTCCCTAAGATCCATTTCAATATTTTACTTCCATCCTCACCCAGCTCCTTCAAATGGTCTCTTCTCTTCAGGTTTTATAACCGAAATGTTGTATGCCTTTCTCATTTCAACCTATTCGTGCTACATGCACAACCCAAATCATACTCCTTGATTTCATTACCCTAATAATATTTTGTTAAGTGCACAACAGTATGCATTACTGTAAACAGAATCCAGAAGTTACTGAGAGCAGAAATTTAGTCAGAGTAATTTTCATCCACAGCTCCAGTTTGACAACTGTCCAGTGGCAATCATATACCAGAAATTCAGCTATCATCATCATCATCATCATCAAGAATAATAACAGCAGCAGCAACAGTAATTGATGGTACTCGATATTATTACACAATGCATATCTGGACACCCCATCACAAATTCAGCCCTGTGCCTCAAATACAGTTATCCATGCAGGATTTGAGGTTTTCACAGCGGTCAGCCTGAACATTGCTGTCTTCTGGGTTATTTCGCAGAGTAGTCTGGTAGATTTCTACCAGAATACTCGGCGCAGTAATCCAGAAGACAGCAATCTTCACAGTTATCCTCCTCACAATGGTTACAAAACCAATGTTTACATTTTTACCACAGTTGACAACACAAACAAATTTTCATAATTTTCCTAAATCATATTTATTGCCTTGTCTGGAGCAATACTCACCAACAACAGTTTCAACTAATGTTCCTGGAAATCCTCTGGCTGATTCTTCATCTACACTTGTAGCTTCACTCTGTTCCATGTTATGCAAGTTGAATCTTGATTTAAATCTTTGAAACCATCCTTTACTTGCCTGGAAGGTTTCTTCTTGGGAGCCATCACCATGAGTTGATTTCAGGTTCTCAAACAAACTTCTAGCCTTAGCCTGAATTACTGCAGGGCTCACAGGGACATGGCAGCACATCTGATCATCAAGCCATTTTATCAGAAGCTTTTCCATTTTTGTGATGAGGCCAGCGCGCTGGCGAATGTATTTAGCTTGCATAGGGGCCTGACCTTTAACCTCTTCCAATATTCTGGCCTTATCCTTCATAATTCTTACCACAGTAGTGCGGGGAAGTTCCAATTTTTTAGCTATTTTGGTATTTGATTCACCATTGTCTGCCAATTTAATTATTTTGTATTTAATTTCCAAACTCACTGACTTTCTACTACGTTTCACAGTAGAAAAATCACTCACTGATGTGTTTTTCCTATTGCCAGTCATATTTAGCAAGGTTTAGATGGTTAAAGTCTGTAAATACACTTCAGAATAGGCTCCAAAAAATGTCACAATGGAAATAAAACTCCCTCACCAACACACGCTGCACTGTTTGGCTCTACTTGAATGGAACACGTTTTGTAAACTGGTCCATCGATTGCATCACATAGCATAATAAATGTAGGTCGCTGCAATCTGAGATATATCTGTAATGACAATAACAACAATAAGTCATCATAACAATAAAACAAGAGTAATAACTGTGAGATTAACTAGAGCAGCGTTTCTCAACATACCACTTGTAGTAAGCGAGCCAATGTGGAGTAAGAAAATCAAAAGATAATATTAACATAAATAAGTTTTCCCTGAACGCATTTGGTTAATGATATATTTAATGTGTTAAATTATAATTAGTGGTATGCCAGCGAAAAAGGGTAAGAACCCCTGAACTAGAGACACTGTGTAAAGATAATGCAAGACAAAAGATTAATGAAATAACTTACAAATATGCTTCCAATTCCAGAAAAGATTTCAAATGAGTATGTCCAGAATATGACAAAAATACTCAGCAGACAATGACAGTAAGGTGTACAATTTTAAAATGTATTCTTTATGATTATGTGCCCCCTTTATCATCCTCGTTTATTTATCACAGGTAAAAATCTAATGTCATAGCTAATAAAGGGTGGAGACTGTACAATGCACAGGGTTATAAATCCTTTTGTTAACAACGTTACTAAAAAGTACAGATACTATACTGCTGAAGTATCTTCCTTGGTTTTATTACATGTTTAATAAAATGAGAAATGTTTTACATACAATTTGTAGATTTTAATAACATCTATATTTTATGTCATGTATCAAATTTTACTAATGAGCCCTTTAAAAATTACGAAATTTCAACTTCAGCTTCATGTTATATTATATTAATAAGGGCCAACATGAAATTCACTCTTCAAATTACTGGCCTCTCTCCAATACTAAATTTCATTAAATACATAGTGAAACCTGGAATGCCTCTCTTGGTTCCTGTGCAAACTTAATCATCAAATTTTCTGCAGATCATCAACATTGGCTTTTCCAAACTGTCGATATAGTGGAGTTCCTATAGAACATTTTAAGCAAGAAATTCTAGAGCTAAAGTAATAAGATGCAGTAAAAGTAACCAAAGGATGAATGCATTAGATCATAAATGTCTAAGTGGTGATGCTGATGATAACAATACTTGTACAACTGAATTACCAGTCAACCTGATGTATGAAACCAGGAAGACCCTGCTCCTGAGGCAGTTCTGTTCTTTGTTGATGCAAAATTAATTTTGTGGTAAAACTGTCATAATTTCTGATGAATATCGAATGGTAACATATTAATGATGTTATAGACAAGCCATGATCAACATGTGGTCTTAATCCTCTGCCCTTCAGGCTGTCTGAACAAGCTGCTGTAACTGACATCACTAGCAGAATTAGGTTATGCCTATTTGGCATCTGCTGTTATCTGCCTAAAACTGTAATTCGATGTGTTCTATTTTACTTCCACTTGCAGATAACGTTTTTTTTTAAAAAAAAGGCTCACAGAATAATGCATAATATTTAAATCTGTCCAGGACAAACAACTGTGAGAACTGTGACACCAAAGTTAGTCTTACGGACTAGAATTAGGATTTCTGTGTGGTGCATGTGGGATCATATGTTGTCAATACTGCAGTGTGTATAGTAACACAAACTGCAAACACTACAGTGTCTACAACTATGAAACTGTTCATTAAACTGCCAAAATTTAAAAAGAAAAAACATACATTCACTGATAATTTTGGTCAATTCTGCAACATTCTCAAATAAGCTGAGTTGTACTGCTATGTAAGAGAATACCAGCTGATTGGCAGACTCTGTGAACAGAATCTGTATGAAAACCTACATTTACATCACCAACATGGCACCTATGGCAAATTATTCATCACATAGCTTATAGAATCTGCTGCAACTATAGTTAATATTATATGCTTATCAGTTCGCTCCTCACAGCACTGTTCCAAGTCTGAAGATGGCTGTCTTCTGGGTTGTTGCACCATGTAGTGTGGTAATAGTTTACTGATGTTTCAGGGGTCCTTGCTGCCTGTATCATTAGGGCAGTCACCCTGAGCAGCAAGGACCTCTGAAACATCAGTAAACTATTACCACACTACATGGTGCAACAACCCAGAAGACAGCCATCTTCAGACTCACCACTGTGAGAACCTCAAATCATACACATTTCAAGCCTACTTATATTCTGTTCAATAGGTACTAATAAAATGCAGTACTTTCTCTGGAGACAGATTGAAGGTGACTATACGCATGCTTTCATTTCCAAGGTCTGAGAAAATCACGAAACCTTCCATTCATGTGCTCTATGCATCTTCATAGTAAAGGGCTTAGAAAAAATAAAACTCAATTAAGACTCCTGATATCTGCACACCTCTCTTGGGTAATAGGAGGGTGGGAGGAGAGGTACCAGCATAATCATTGCTATCTACTCCTAAAATAAATCTATGTGACCTTCACACCAATCTGTTATCAGTTCTCATTTCTAGTCTATTATAATGGATAAAGCTGAGTCACTATATGGCATATAACTTTATCTGCAAGTCAGTTGCATTTCACTGTTGAGTAAAACAGTGATTACAGGTAAGCTGACTATTTAATGACTTACTAAGTTTACTTATATATTATTGATCATGCTGTGAAGATAATTTTCTGATGATCTAGAGATGAGAATATTCATGGGCAGTAGACATGGAAGTGGCTCAGCTGTATTTCAAGTAACTGTACCAGGATTTACTTGGAAAGCATGAGGAAAATCATGCAAACTTCACTCCAAGATACAATTGTAAACAAACTTGTACTGTTATAGAAAGTGGTGCTAATGGAATCACTTATTTTCAGTGAAAAAACATGGACACCCTTCGATATAAATATAAATTGAACAATCACATCTCAAAACTCTAAAGACTCAAGTGCTAATTAACACAACTCATTAGTATTTACTGGTAAACTCAACCACTGATCTATGTTAGTATCAAAGTTACAAATATGTGAAGCTTCATCACCACTGCTACTGGCATGCTGCTTAGGAAGGGTATCAACTTTCTATTTACAGATCCCATGATGGAGGCTATACAGTTTGACCCCCAGAACAAAAAGCTGTCTCTCATCAAGGTTCCATTACCCGCAGATCCGAAGGTCTCTCATCAAGGTTCCATTACCCGCATATTCGAATAAAAATGAAGTTGTGATTCGTGTGGCATATGCTGGTATCTGTGGAACTGATCTACACATAACTGAGGTGCATAACAGCTAATGCAGTTGTTCCAGTCCTTAGTCAGGGACCTTGTTTGCTTTCTCTCCACCCCCCACCCCCACCCCAAGGATCATATTGGTTTTGAGTAAGCAGTGTTTGTCGGACACTCAACTGTGGAAGGTTGTAGGCTTTTATTCCGCCTTTGCCCAGCTTGCAGTTCATATACAGTAATATAAAACTGTAGGATATTTATGTGTCCAAATATGGCTAGTATCTTTACTAATGAATTCAATCAAGTGAAAATAAACATTTATATCAATTTTAAAGTTTCAAGTCAGTAGCAATGAGAATGTCATAAGCAAATGATTCTTTTCAGTAACTGACGCAGAACAAAAAGTGAAGTAGTTTTATTCTGAATAGTTCTAGACAACATTATAAAGATAGAATGACTGATTATTTGCAATTGTCCACAGGCTCAGGAATCAATTCACACAGAATTTTAAGTCATAGGGAAAATTGTATTAACAGAAATTTTGGTTCATGTCACTTCCTCTACTCTGCATGTAATGGATACGCTGCAGTGACCTGAACACCCATCTAGTCTGTAATAATATCCTGCACCTCAGTGATGTTGGCATTAGTGGAAGGAAGGCTTGTATTATATATTATACAGAATGACTGAACATCCATGCAACCAATTCTGACACATGCTCCATTTATAAAAATATAAATGACATTGAAAACAATGCTGTATTGAGTGTTGGAAATGTCCACCACTTTCTGTGATGTACGCATATCATCACTTAACACTGAAGTTCAGCCAGAATGCTTTCTGTCCTGCACGCTTCCTGTGCCATGGAAATGGTTCACCAAATGTGATACTGCCAATTGTTTTTGGCACAGACGACTCAGAAAATGTATCCCTAAACACTACATTAATTAAAAACAAGATACCAGGTAGTGTCTGACACTGAATACTCATTACATTGTGAAACAGCCATCCTTGCACTTCAGCTGTTGAAAGAAAACTGATGGACTGGTGCCAGCAGGTTCCAACATGATATAACCTGTGTGGGCTCTTTTATAGTCACAGTGATGTATGTTTATTAATTCAGTCAAATTGTACTGAATTGCAACCATCAAATATTTTAATATGGGCTACATGACTTTTCAATCAAACTGTACAATCTACAAATTTAAAACACTCGTGCATTTATGAACAAAATTTTAGAAGCCCAGTCACTGCAAGAAGTAATTTATTGTATTCTTAATTTGGACCGCAGGTCTCACTTCTTGTAAAGCAATGTCCTTGCGACACTTTCACACCAACATTTACCACCAGTGTTCCTTCTACCCAACCAAAATGCTTTATATTATGAGATTTCCTTGTGTAAAGAATCCTCATTAGAGTCTAAGCAAAAAACAAAGTTGTTCTTCAGATGTGATGCCTTGTTGTGCCACTGTCTGGTAACAAGCCAACTACGTCTCTTCCCATTCTAGGGTACGTTTCCCTGCCGTGAAACACCAGTCACTTTGGGACATGAGTTCAGTGGAGTGGTAACATCTGTGGGGTGTGATGTCACTCACATCAAAAAAGGTGACAATGTGGCTGTGGATCCAAACAGGTACAAAAATGACCTGGTGGTGTTAGTACAGCAATAACAAAATACAGGAAATATTGCTTGGTAGAAGTTTACTAAAAAGCAAGCAAATAGTTCTGCATAATTTTCTTGTCCCACTACTGTTTTTACTAGATTTTCCAGTAAAATTTTGTGCATTTAACTTCCTCCTTGTATACTAGAACTTATTATACAGTCTTTTTCATATGTTTCATTACCTGTCTTTGGTTCAAGTATTGGCACATGTCAGGCACTCTGAAACTTTGTTGAACACGTATATGATATTAAGATACTGACACAGAGAATGAAGTGATGTAAGGACATAAAAGAGTTCATGCAATAACACAAAAGCAAACCAACATAAAACACCTACATTGACATTGCAGTGGGTGCTTCACATGTGATGCATGTCACAGTGGTAATTACCACTACTGCAGTGGTGGTGGGATTGACAAGATCACTGGGATATACCAAAATGGGGGGTGGGCAGAGTTTTGCGTGGTGCCAGCCGACCAGGTGCACAAACTACCCAAAAACATCTCACTCCAGCAAGGTACGTCTTAAGCTAACATACTAAGCAAGCATGTGAAAATGCTCCCAAATGGAACTAAATATTCTATCAAAAAAGACTATCACTGATTGAATTTAATAGCATTCTCCTGACCTCCCGAGTGATGTTTCCCAAGAAAAACATTGTACGCAACTTCCGTTTCTACATTTTCAACAATCACAACTTCCTTATTTAAATTCTCTTATAATAATAGTTGAAGAGTAAAAGCTATTTCCATTTTAGTTCATTCCACTGCTGTCATATAGAGTTGTCTGTTACTTGTGACAGACAGACATGATTCAACCTCTTATCTGCTGTGCAGCTGGTCTGACAGAGCCACTGTCATGTGTTGCCCATGGTTGGGACCGCATCACTCCCATTGCTGTGGGATCTAGGATCCTCATCCTTGGAGCAGGAATCATTGGCAATCTGTGGGCCAGTGTTCTGCACCTTCAGGGCCATCGCAGGGTAACAATCAGTGAGCCACAGGAAGCACGCAGGAAACTGCTTCAAAAGCTAGGTTTGTATAATCAGGACTATTTTATTTAAGTATTTATAGTTCATTTACCGAAGCTCTTTCAGTAACTCTGACTACATAGTGAAGGATGAGAGGATGTGGAAGGAATCACTCTTGGTCTTATCCTAGCATTTGCCCGGAGGGAGTGAGAACAAAACAAAAACCCCAGTCACGACAGCCAGTCTCTGGGCCGAGATTTGAAACCTTAACCTCCCGAATATGAAGGAGTGTTAACCACAAGACCACAACATTCAGTTCATCAGCACTGGAAATGGTTACAATTGCAGAATGATATGTAAGTTATTGAATGATCTGCACAGACAAGTAGAATCAACTGAGAATTTGTGACGGCATGAATGCTAAATACTTGCCAGCACTAAGGAAACTGAGTAAAACCAAAATTATATTAAATGACCAAGATTCAACAAACTGAGTAAAACCAAAATTATATTAACTGACTAAGATTCAAGTAGATACTCCCTAAATACAAGTCAGCTGTTTTACTGTTGAGGTACTTCCTCTACTTATTAGTATCTGAAATGTTTTTAGAGTGACGTTATCAAATATAAACTGAATCTTTGTGTAATGTTCAACCTACTTGAAAATTAACTGTGTATTTAGGTGTTAAACAAGTCTACAAAGTAAGGGTGTGCATTTTAAAGTTCAGAAGGAAAGTGTAGTTAGGCACAACTTGTACATTTGCATGTGTACTACTAATAGATGTCTTTGTAACATGCTGCTCGATAATTTTCACATGCCCAAGTTAAAATGATCCTTCAGTTTCCACCACAATACCAAAATAATGCACATATTGCAAATTCTCATTTTTCTACAAAACAACTGTGAGTTTCAAAAACCTGTATGCATGTAAAATGTCAGAAATACAAACTGAATAATGCCAGTGATGCTCCTATCTCACAAGTTTGCATGATTCCATACTAACATTCTTGATTTCAGAAAAATGGTGAGGTCTCACAGAAACAGTGTTGATTATACGGTTGTCTATAGTTTAATCAGGGACAGACGAAAGAACAAATGCATACAACTTGCTTACAGAAATTGAAAGAATAAATGGTTAAAATGTTAAAAAATATACAAGAGCAAAATGATCTATAACAAACAGAAAACTATCCATACACTGCACGCTCTACTCTCCACCTGCTTTTTCTCTCCTGTGTCACCAAAATAAGTTCATATCAAATCATTAAATACAGAATGCCAGCATTAGATTCCATTTCTGGTTGCCATGGAAACTAGTATAAAGATGGCTGTAATGCAACACCATGTAGTCTGACAGATATTGACCAGCATTTCAGAGGAGCTTACTGCCTCCATCATCAGAGTGACTGACTGAGGCTGTAAACTCATCCAAAACATCAGTCAATATCTACCAAATTACATGGTATTTCATCACAGAAGATGATCACCTTTAACTGCAGCATTGTTTCAGAAACTGGTTTTGAGATCATTACTCCAGATGAACTTAAAACATACCGAGCAAAGGACCTCAGTTGGGGTATGGACCTAGTGATTGACTGCAGTGGCTATGCCCCTGCCATGGAGGAAGCACTGACATACATCAACCCAGGAGGAACGCTGTGCATCTTCGGTGTTTCATCCCCCAAAGCAAAAATGAGGTGCAGTATTATCATTTGATTCAGACCCATGTGCTTTTCAGCGATAAGTCCAGGGACCAGTCTGTGTGGTAATAAACTGTGTTTTAGGCATGTTGACAACAGTGCACCTATTTAGCTTTGCACTTTTTATCTATCTGCCTGTATGTAATGACTCTGATGAATGGAGTTTCATGTTGGATAGTTTTACAAAAATTTTCAACATATTTTAGTTAAAACCAGACACTAATTAACAGACACTTCACACGGAGCCTGGAGAACCCCATACATCCAGACAACCTTGACATTAATGGTGTTATTCAAATTCTGATGAATACACCAAAACTGTTACATTATGCCTACATTTCCTAATGTGTCTGTGTTGTAGTGTGTCTCCCTACCTGCTTTACAAGAATGAGCTGAAGATCATTGCCGTTAAAGTCAACCCATTCAGCTTTCCCAAGGCTTTGGGCATGATTGATGCTATGGGCTCCAGGTAAGGAACAAACTAATCTGCTCACATCAACTGATGACTGTTTGTTGTTGTTTCTTGGCTCTACAACCCGGTTGTGGGTTTTCGCCGCCTCCTATTTCAGAGGTTTCTTGGTCTTAAAGAGTGCATTTATGATTAGTGAGTGACCAGCCCATTGACTCTGCACAATTTCTACTCAATCCTGATTTGACTGCCAGAGCCATCTAGCAGTTAATCAGGAGACTTGGGTGAGAAATGGCCGCTGAATTTTGTTTACGAAACATCTCGTTCATGCTCTTAAAGTGCTTTTACATGTCGTAAATCTACGACATGGGACCACCGGCTTTACTTCCACTCCGAAAGAAGTTGTGCTACAGATTTCTACCTTGGCCGGGATTGAACCCGCGAACCTTGGGTCCAGTGGCAAGCACGCTAACCACTAGTCCACCGAGGGGAACACCTGATGACTGTAGTACTTGTAAAGGTGTAAAAGCAGAAGGCACAGGTCCCAGTCTGTATACTATAACACAAACCTGTTACATTAACTTCTTCAAAAGAGAAAACCATAATACTGTGTTTCCAAAAAGTGATCCAATTTTAATTATATTTATTCACTAAACTATATGTCATATATAATTATGTTTGGTGTCACTACACAAATCAGTCTTGGTAGGAAAAGCATTTTAAACATGAGCACAGTCAGTATTCAAGGCCGTCTATTGTCATCCTTAGAAATAATGCACTGTGACCACAACCACAGAAAATGTGTTTGCTCTGTTGATCACAACTGCTGAAGTATTTTGTTTACTTTTTAAATTATGCACGGGCTGTTTCTACAATCAGAATTCTTAAGAAAACTTTAAATGAAATCACACAGGCCAAAATATGGAGAGTATGCTGGGCAGAAACAGCAATTCCTGAAAAGTGTAGGTAACTGGCTAGACAAAACTCAGTCATGAAGAAGCTAATTGAAAAACTCCAGCACTACTGTTTGCAATCCTCTGGGTTGTCGCGCTGTGCAGTCTGGTAGAAGTTTATAGACGTTTCACAGGTCCTTGCTGCCTCCATCATCATTGCCATGATGATGGAGGCAGCAAGGACCTTTGAAGCATACGTAAACTTCTACCAGACTGCACAGTGTAACAACCCAAGAGACAGCCATCTTCAGACTCACTGCCGTGAAAACCTCAAATCCTACAAAGTGAAGAGTATGTTTCATGCAGGACACAAGATCAAGCAGGTGTTCAGCAAGATTAGTTGCACTGATGCAGGCAGCATTAATCCTCTTTGATGCATGTGTAAGTAAATGGAAATCTTCTGCAAGGCAAATGAAGCCTTTTGTATGGTTAACAACATGGTGCTTCTAAAATCTAGTTACAAATGTACTAACTGGAATATTAACAAGCATGGAATGTTAACGAATACACATTTTAATGGCATTGTATTAATCAAGAAACTATTAGTTAAAGTTACCAGACTTCTTGATTTGGGTCCATAAAAATATAAATATTTCCTAGGCTAATTAATGTCACAAGATATCCATCCCTCCCCTAATATTTGAACTTCAATGGTTGCTTGACTGATTGATAACAGGATTAAAGTTGGTTCAACACCAGTTAATGTTTAAAACTGTCAATACATCAAATGGTAATTAAAAGCAAAAATCAAAAAAACATAATAATAACCTAACCTAAATTTTGTACCATAACGACACGTTTCCTATTAAAAAGCAATAGTTTTGCCACCATAAATCAGACACCAGAGCAATGCAGTGGAATATGTAAAGATGTATCCTTCTCTTTATAATTCATTAATGAGGTTAACAGTGAAACTGCTTTGATACGAATGTCACAAATGCCTCTTGTATGGGTAATGACCAACACTTTCCTTTCTTTGCTTGCTGTCACACGCAGCTTGCGTCCGTTTGACCGGTTGGTTTAATTCTTTGCCTATCACTTCTATTTAATTTCTGACTTGTGAATATCATAGCAGGAATTAAATAAATTTCAAAAATAATTTTGAAGTACATGGCCGCGTTTATGTGTTGATGATTTTGAGGTTTATTTATATTTTCTAAGCCTATGAAACTATTCCAACAAACCTAGCTCACCTAACCTGTCTTGAAGCTCGGATTTCACTTAAAGTTACTTCCTAGTAACATACACCATTGTAACTTACCTCACGTAATTAATCACCAGATTGTAAAGATATGTTTAAAATCGTTCGAAACACCAGGAAGAAGAGGCCAGGCTTGTTGAAAATTAGGACGGTTCAAGCTTAACAACCCGAAACGCGTAACTTTGCTTGTTTACAAATACCGCCCATATTGGTTGACAGCATTGCTGATAATGGAAGTTACGTAACAGGAACGCCAACTTAAAATGCAAATTAACTGAAAACATTCAAATTTCGGTATAGAATCACAATCTTCTCATTCAGAATCGCATAAATGTATTTTTTATTGGAGGAATCAGCATGATGTTAAGCAGAACTGAAGAGCACGGCATGACGGAAAGATGCGTACCAATGCAACATATTATGAAGGTGTGATAAAGCTCCATATAATCTCAGTTAGTGATGCGCCGACTCCACATATCCCCTGAAAAGAGCCTCGAGGTATCGGCCTGGATGCAATTTGTTGGGCATGATTGATAGCTGGGATTCAATTCATTGATATGAGCAGGAAATTTTCTCATCAGTAACATCCAAGCCAGATCTAGAGCCCACCCATCCTAGGCAGTGTGTAGTGGAGTTCCTTTCACAGGATAAATCAGCTGCAGCTTGAAGCTGATCTCTCACCTCCATTTAGTGCTGAGACAGAGTGGGTGGAGTGTTACATCCCTTCTTAAAACCATAGTACTTGTGTAGAGAAACAATTTTACCTTCACCTTTACCTTATCGGATTGGGTCAACAATGTCTGGGCAAAAATATTAGGGTTCCATCATGAATTTAAGTTTTGGACAAAATAGTTTATAATATCTTCTTGATAAATTTTTGATCTTACAAAGTTGTTCACATTGTACTGACAGAAAAATGACAGTAGAAATTGTTTTTGTGAGGTTACAGAGAGACAGAAAAGTCTTAGAGTCTAAACTGTGTGTATTAGGATACCGATTGTTTCTTCTTATTATAAACATCTTTTAACAATAATTAATATGATTAGGAAAATAACCAAACTGCACTGCATAACACCAAGAATACATTTGCTGCATGTCCTGTTCATGTCCCTCTGTTATTCTCCCACTGCACGTGTGATGAATAAGGGCATGTAAGAATTTTGCTTTTTAATTGTCCTTCCAAATGGAGGAAAGTACATTGACTTCAATGTTAATTTTTCTGCACTTTTCAGCATGAAATAATGATTTCTCAAATGCAACTTGGAGTCTTCAGCACTTGGTTGGCTGAGTGGATATATTAATAACTGGTATTTTAAATGTGTGTGATCTACAAAGATGCTTTATGCAAGATAACCTGACTACATAAAAGTAAAGGCTACTTTATGTGAAGGTTTATATATAATATGATACTGTAAAAAAAACATACAAAGGAAGGAAACAGTAAACTCTTAAACTACATGAATCAATTGACAAGTGTAACAAAAAGTAATTTTGTAATTCTGCTAAAATATAACTACAGGGTATTTTCCAGATTAGTTCTTTGTACAGCATATGCAGTTTACTGCATCCAGTCACATACAAGGTAATTCTTAACTACATTCATTAAATATAATGATCATGTCCCATTCCTAAAAAGAAGCCAGAAAGTTCATATAAACATACATGCAACCACTTCATTAGTGAGAACTTGAAGCATCAATAAATCAGACAAGTGAAACAGCATATTAGAAGCCCATTTATTTCTGTACTTAAACATACTTTAACAGCAACTTAATGTTTATAAAGTGTTTAGAGAAGTTGTTTAAAATGCTGTTCACTATTTTGAATGCATAACTGAGCCCTGTGGAACAAAGAATTCTTGGTACTAGTAAACTGAAAGATTCCAGTCATGTCTTATTGTTGTCACAGCCACCTGAATCAAATGTGAACGCTAGTCCTGCATGTTGACTCTTTCCAAGTAAATTATGCCCTTCAGATGCCCTCACAGGTACATGTGATGAAGAGTCCAAAAACTGCTTTATGTTGCAGGTGAAATGAGCAGGAGCTCCAACACGCATAAATAACACAGTCTGTTAAATTGCCACTGGTATATCCAACAGTAGTTGAGGGAAATTCTTCTGTTGAAAATGTAAACAAGACGCCCGAACGGTTTACACAGTAGCTCATAAGGTCCTATGATGAAATCAGCAGTTATTTCTGCCCAAACATTAATTGTAAACTGGTGCTTCATTGCTGCACCCCCTAACAAGACACTTACAACCGTATGATTATTGGAGCTTCTTGGCTTGATTTTAGGAGCAGAAATAAATCATGATATATAGTACATGTGTCCCGGGCCGTAGCCGCGCGGTCTGAGGCATTATGCTTCAGACCGGCAATATGGAATGCACGCTGGTTCGAATCTCGAGTGAGAAGAAATTTTCTCATGAGCTTTCGACCAGTGTATGGGACCGGTGCCAACCCAGCATCGTGAGGAAATTGG